AGGAAAACCTCAACAAATCTGGATGGTTTTGATGCAGATTTTCTTCGCAACTTGCAACAATGATGTGTTCACTTGTCCAACCCATAATCATAATAATGATAATACTAATACTAATAACAGATTAATACAGTATACTATATTTGGCGATCAAAAGACATTTACGACACCACTTTTCAACGCCTAAAACTGGGATGACCTTTACGAAATCAGCGACGCCAAGCGTCGCGAAGCTTGGGCGTGCTCGACGGAGCCGAAACAAAGGTCGCGCCAGTGAAAAGAGCCGCACCTCGATTTTTATCGTTCTTCACCGTGCGGCAGTGAGGCGAGTACAACCATTGAAACTGATGGTAAGTGAAAAATATCAACACTTTAGTGATTCCCCGTGTAAGATATTCTTTGTGGGATTCGTGGGCTTGAGTTATTGCAATAACTTTGCTTGTTATCTACTTGTCAAGTGGGATGATACATAACTATGTTTAATCCATATATATATATACATATAAATATAGAGAGAGCTAAAGATATTCCAGATATCACTGGGTAATAATTTGGTTCTTGCCCACTTACGACATAAGTTCAACAACGGATTAGTACACTTTCTTGATTAATGAGGGAGTGTTCCCCTCAAAAAAGTGATACATATATATTATATATATATATAGATTCCTCTTGCACTTGGTACCTCCCATTAGTAAACTCTGGTTTCTTGAATCTGGGTTAACATTATCTGGAATGCACGTCAATGACAAGTGGTAAATCCTAAAGCGTAGACATCATGAACCATCCCTAATATTACCAAAAATGGGATCCAAACCATCCCTAAATGTTTGTTATAGCTGTTCATTATTATTATTACCAGTAGTACCGCACAAGGCGGTGGCGGAAGTTTCAAAAATAGGAAACCTATAGGAGAGGTTGGTTGTTGTGAAAGGTGCTTGAGGTCTCCTCTCTGTCTCTCTCATTCTCTGACTATCTATCTACCTACCTATCTATCTTCTATGTATGTATCTATCTATTTATCTAGCTATCTATCTCTCTCTTTCTCTCTTTCATCTAATTACCTATCTACCTATCTACCTATCTACCTATCTACCTATCTACCTATCTACCTATCTACCTATCTATCCATCTAACTATCTATCTATCTATCTATCTATCTATTTATCTATCTATCTCTCTCTCTCTCTCTCGCTTTCATCTGTCTATCTGTCTAGCTGTCTGTCTGTCTGTCTGTCTATCTATCTATCTATCTATCTGTCTATCTGTCTATCTGTCTATCTGTTTATCTGTCTATCTGTCTATCTGTCTATCTGTCTACCTGTCTACCTGTCTATCTGTGGTGCAGTGTCATTCAGTGTATTGTAGTGTAGTGTAATGTAGTGTAGTGTAGTGGAGTGTAGTGGAATGTAGTGTAGTGTAGTGTAATGTAGTGTCGTGTAGTGTAATTTCGTGTAGTGGAGTGTGTTGTGTAGTCGTAGTTGTAGTTGTAGTTGTAGTGTAGTGTAGTGTAATGTAGTGAAGTGTAGTGGAAGGTAGTGTAGTGTAATGTAGTGTAGTGGAGTGTAGTGTAGTGTAGTGGAGTGTAGTGTAGGGTAATGTAGTGTAGTGTAGTATAATTTAGTGTAGTGGAGTGTAGTGGAGTGTAGTTGTGTAGTTGTAGTTGTAGTGTTGTGGAGCGTAGTGTAGTGTAATGTAGCGTAGTGGAGTGTAGTGTAATTTAATGTAGTGTAGTGTAGTGGAGCGTAGTGTAGTGTAATGTAGTGTAGTGTAATTTAGTGTAGTGGAGTGTAGTGGAGTGTAGTTGTAGTTGTAGTGTTGTGGAGTGTAGTGTAGTGTAATGTAGTGTAGTGTAGTGGAGTGTAGTGTAGTATAGTTTAGCTTGATCCAAAGGGGCTCCAGGGATGGTTTCTATAGAGGGTGGACGGGGCATGACGTAAACATAAACTATGTCTAGGCGTAAGTAAAAACATATGTGAAACATAAACGAAACATATGTGAAACGTATATGAAACATATGTCAAACATAAGACAAAACATATGTGGAACGCAAACGAAACATAAATGGAATATAATTGAAACATAAGTGACACATAAAGCAAAACATGTGTGTGAAATTTGCAACATATGTGAAACATGAGTTGGCCGTCCCCCCTGTGTCAAGCAGTTGCCAATTTGAAATCCAAACCTGGTACAAACCTGCAGCCAATGTGAAACTGATGTCTCCCACATGTTTCACATATGTCTGACATACGTTTTGTTTGCGCAGCACTTGCGTCAGGCAAAAGTCTAAGATCTTATTCTGGGAAAATAAGATCTTAGGATTTTGACATACATTAAAAAAAAAAACAAGCGAAACACAAACAAAACATAAACAAAACACAAATGTAGCATAAACTTGTTTATGTTTTTTTGTGTTCAGTTTATGTTTTGGTTTATTTTTTGTTTATGTTTGATTTGTTTTTTGTGGATGATTTGCGTATGGCCTTATTTTTATGTTTTTTTGTGCTTTTTTATGCTTGTTTCCACAAAAAAGCACAAAAAAACATAAAAATAAGGCCTTACGCAAATAATTGACACAAAAAACACAAACAAAACATAAACCAAAACATAAACAGAACACAAAAAACATAAACAAGTTTAAGCTACATTTGTGTTTTGTTTATGTTTTGTTTGTGTTTCGCTTGTATTTTTTTAATGTCAAAATCCTAAGATCTTATTTTCCCAGAATAAGATCTTAGACTTTTGCCTGACGCAAGTGCTGCGCAAACAAAGCGTATGTCATAACACAAGTGAAACACAGAGCAAACATTGTGTCACATAATTCCGCTCACCTCCAGAGAAGATGGAAACACGTGCGCGACAGTTGGGACACATGACTGCCAGAATGGTTTGTGGATTCATTTGTGTTTTGTTGATGAGTCGTTTTATGTTTTATTGTGGATTCACTTGCGTTCTGTTTATGATGAGTTTCCGATGTGTTTATGATTCACTTGTGTTTGCTTTTATGTTGCGTTTACGTTGTTTTATGTTGGTTCTTTACGTCTTTGGTTTATGTAAGGCTCTTAGCCTCAGATCTTGTTCCTATAGACGAAGCCCTTTGGGTTTACCTAAAGTATAGTGGAGTGTGGTGTAATGTAACGTAGTGTAGTGTAGTAAAGCGAAGCGGCGAAGCGACATCTGAACCTCCAAAAGTGGTCCGAACCCCTAGTGTTTTGCACATTTTCACTTCGAAATGTGCTTCGCGCCACAACGGCGTGCACTTTTTCAACATCCGAACCTCAAAAGTGGTCCGTACATGGTGTGTTTTGTACATTTTGACTTGGAAATGTGCTTCGCGCCACAACGGTGTACACTTTTTCGACATCTCAACTTCCAAAAGTGGTCCGAAGATGGTGTCTTTTGTACATTTTGACTTCAAAATGTGCTTCGCGCCACAACGGCGTGCACTTTTTCGACATCTCAACTGCCAAAAGTGGTCCGAACCTGGTGTGTTTTGTACATTTTGACTTCAAAATGTGCTTCGCGCCACAACGGCGTGCACTTTTTCGACGTCTCAACTTCCAAAAGTGGTCCGAAGCTGGTGTGTTTTGTACATTTTGACTTCAAAATCTGCTTCGCGCCACAACGGCGTGCAATTTTTCATCTCTCATCTGGCCAGCTGGCTCCGCACCCGCCGCTTTAGCGAGCCTACTTTTCGACCCTCCGGAGCCACAAATCATTGGAAAAACACAGTGAATCGCGACTTTCCTACCTTTCGCACATCTGTATCTTCTTTCTTCTGACTCTTTCTCTTCTGCTCTTCTCTCTTCTAATCTTTCTCTTCTCTCTGCCTCTGCCCTGCTCTGCTTTTCATCTGTCCATGTTGTCGGAAGTTTGACTTCTAAACTTCCTTCGATTATTATTATTATTATTATTGTTATTGTTATTGTTATTATTGTTATTTCTTGGTTAATCGGTGAATCACATTACTGTACATCACATCAATTATAGATGTTCATCAACTATAGGTGGGATATTCATATTCTTCTTCTCCCACTTGCGTTGCTCCGAACCGGCGCCTGTGGCGCCTGCGGCCAGGGCGGAAACTCGGCTGGTGGAAGCCATTGTCTATTGCCTCGGTGTAGCAACATCAGCTGGTGCCGTGTGGGGGAAAAGTTTGAAAAGTCCCTTCAAATACCATCATTGTTGCTGTGTGATGCTCTTGAGGATCCTCAAAATGGGTCAAATAGATCTATTTGTTGGTGGGCGTCCATGGCTAGCCTTGGCTTCTGGATATCTTGAACAAAAGGATTGTCTTTACATAGGTAGTGCCAAATTCTGTCCAGGGGGGCATTTTGGGGACAACTTTCATGCCACAAGCGCAGGAGCAAGGAAGATCAAGGAAGAACATCATGTCACGGATGGAACTTGGAGTAACTTGGGGATTGCAGCAGTACCAGGTCTAAGGGACATCAAAATGCCACAGGTTGCTTTAACCCTCAAACTACAGGAGGTTCCTGGCAACTCAGGGCGACTTGAGATGCTCAACCTGTTGACATTGTGATTTCCACGGGTAGACATGGTCTGACCACTGCATGAACACTCGAACCAGCTCACAACTTCAAATCTCTTTGTGGGTAGCAAAAAAAACAATAGTCATAATGATAGTAATTGTAAACTCAACAGACTTGTCTCTTAAAGCGTATGATACTCCTCACCTGCACCCAGTTGTTTCAATGCAACTGCAAACAAGCAACTGAACTATGCCAAAAAAAGGAATCGGCCAAAAATGGGAGCAGCTTTTGCTCACACAGCCAATGCTTAAAACAGATACAGTATCTCGAGCCATCCGTTGCGCCAGTTTTTTGCAGTTGTGATGAAAAACTGATCAACAAGCTACAAGCAGTCAGCAATCAAAGAATATGCCATCGATTGTACCATGCGCAGCAAAACAACTTTCTGCAGCGAAATGCATCATTATCATCATTCTTCCAAGTCAAATCACTTCATCGAGTCAAAAAGGTTGACCAATCCATGATTCGTCACCTTCCAGGCCTACCTTGACCACCCGTTTTGCAAAGTGGTGACTTAGTGCAGTCACTCCCACAGATGGCATCTCGTTCCATGAATGACCAGTTCCAACAGTGGATCAACAGGCCCTTTTCTCCTCGGTTCGGCAGGTCCGATCCAAAATGGTGGCACCTAAGCGGACTCGGCACGCAAAGGAGATGCTGTGTAGTTGGCCCAGTCTCCCCAGGCGCTTCCGGTCAGACCATCCTGGGACATGGAAGTTATGGCAGAGATCAAAAGCACAGGGTGGCAGCATCGAGATTGCTGATGATTCTAGAAAATCATGGTATGATAATATGTGATAATACAATATGCTTCTGATATGATATGATATGATACGATATGATATGATATGATTTGATTTGATTTGATATGATGTGATATCATATGATATGATATGTTTTGATATGATAGGATATGATATGATATGAAGTGATATGATATGTTATGGCGCAATATGAAGTCTGAAATGTAATCGCAAACTGTGTATGCATTTCCTTTAATAAACGAATGAATAGCATCATTTCTTTGTGCATGTTTCGACGGCATTATATCAATTGTACAACCTGTTCATGTCACATCATGAAACTATTCATTCCCGGTACATTCTACAACTCACTTTTTGGGCAAGCAGTAGTAAGTATAGCGGTGACATAGCGCTGTACTGCGCAGTATGTTGAAACAGTATCAAACAATCAAACAATGCGGTGTGCTGAAAACGTGGCTGGCAAGAAATAAACTTCAGAAACTCAGAACACACCATGCGAATTGACACAGAATTGTGTTTCTTTCTTCAATGATGTTGATTCCGTTGTACTGATGCTCTACATTGTTGCACTCTTTCAGCCACGCTCTTTGTGGTGTTTCTTTTCTTGTGGAGTTGTAACAAACAATATGCGCGCAGGATCCTATCCCCGCCTGGAAAAACATGCCGATGATGGCCATCATCGCAAGTCTTCCGTTAGCGATTTCGGCATTAAGCTTTTTGGTCTTTTCAGCCGGGTCAGAAGAGGTCAACACCTTGAATCCAAAGTCTCCAGCATACGCAGCACTTCCTGGGGTCTGTTCCTGGGAGACCTCGCAGAAAGCCATGTAGGCCAAGATCTGACCCCATCCTGCAGGGTTGGCATATTGGGCCTCTTAAAAACTACATAAATCAGCAAAGCAACATGTTATACTGTCATAGTTATAATAGTGTGGGTTTGGAGATAATGAATTGTATAACATCATTTAAGTACATCTATCTTATATCCACAAACAGATCAACCACATTTAATGGATGATATATAAATCTAAATGTGCATATGTCTACATATTACAGGATATATATATATATACAACAACTCTATATATATACATGTATGTTATAATATACATATATACATACATAAAGACATGTATTTATATATCTATATATGGTTTTGATTTTCAGATGGATCCAGTTGTTTCAACCCCGTCCTGCGGCTGGGACCTTTGAGATGGCAGCCAAACCATTAGGCACATCGGCGAACTTCAAACCGGCGGATGGAGATAAGTAGCCAGGGAATTTGCCAGTGATCTCCTGGGGATTGTTTCATCGGAATGCATTCAAGAAAAAACATTGCCAGATATTGCCAGTGCCAGTAGGTTCACCCAACTATAGTGGAACTGCAAAAAAGGAAACACTAACACATAACATACTTTATTGATAGTCTTGCAGCTACCCGGATAACACAGCAACACTACTCCATGCGGAAAAAAAATGCTGGACAAACTTCCAACAACGATTCTAAACGATCTTAATCTCAGCTTCAGCAAATCCAAGTCACTGGAGTGATGTATCCCATGGTGGCCAACATCGAAATGCGACCATGCTTGATCTCGGTGGCGCGACGTCGCTTGAAGTCCTCCACGCTTCCGTCGGCGGTAAATCCGGCGGGATCCCAGAAGCCCACGGGCGCCTGCACACCGAGTTCATTCTCGAATGCGCGCAAAGGAGATGCCGTGTAGTTGGCCCAGTCTCCCCAGGCGCTTCCGGTCAGACCATCCTGGGACATGGAAGTTGATGATTCTATAAAAATAGTAATAATAATAATCATCATCATCATCATAATGGTCCGAAATTATGTGATACAATACGATATGACATGGTACAATATCAATATGATACAATATGACATGTTATGATAGATATGATATGCTATGGCGCGATATGATATGTATAAACAAAATGAATGGTATCAAATCTTGAAATGGCATGTCTTTGTGCATGTTTTGACGGCATTATATCAATTGTACAATCTGTGCATGTCACATCGGACACATCATGAAACTATTCTTCATTCCAGACACATTCTACAACTCACCTCATTGGCAAACATATGTGTGAATATAGCAGTAAGAACAATATCACACAACCAAACATGCGGTGTGCTGAAAACGTGGCTGGCAAGAAATAAACTTCAGAAACTCAGAACACACCATGCGAATTGACACAGAATCGTGCTTCTTTCTTCAATGATGTTGATTCCGTTGTACTGATGCTCTACATTGTTGCACTCTTTCAGCCACGCTCTTTGTGGTGTTTCTTTTCTTGTGGAGTTGTAACAAACAATATGCGCGCAGAATCCTATCCCTGCCTGGAAAAACATGCCGATGATGGCCATCATCGCAAGTCTTCCATTAGCGATTTCGGCATTAAGCTTTTTGGTTTTCTCAGCCGGGTCAGAAGAGGTCAACACCTTGAATCCAAAGTCTCCAGCATACGCAGCACTTCCTGGGGTCTGTTCCTGGGAGACCTCGCAGAAAGCCATGTAGGCCAAGATCTGACCCCATCCTGCAGGGTTGGCATATTGGGCCTCTTAAAAACTACATAAAACAGCAAAGCAACATGTTATACTGTCATAGTTATAATAGTGTAGGTTTGGAGATAATGAACTGTATAACATCATTTAAGTACATCTATCTTATATCCACAAACAGACAATGAATGATATAAAAAAGACATGTGTATATTTCTACATAATATTATTGGTTATATACAACATATGTATATGTATGTATACATATACATACATACGTATATATATATATATGTGTGTGTGCTATGATACGTGTATGTGTATATATATATATATCATGATATATACATATATATATAGTAATATACATATATATATATGGCTGTGATTTTCATATGAATCCAGTTGTTTCAACCCTGTCCTGCGGCTGGGACCTTTGAGATGGCAGCCAAACCATTAGGCACATCGGCGAACTTCAAACCGGCGGATGGAGATAAGTAGCCAGGGAATTTGCCAGTGATCTCCTGGGGATTGTTTCATCGGAATGCATTCAAGAAAAAACATTGCCAGATATTGCCAGTGCCAGTAGGTTCACCCAACTATAGTGGAACTGCAAAAAAGGAAACACTAACAAATAACATACTTTATTGAAACGATCTTAAACGATCTTAATCTCAGCTTCAGCAAATCCAAGTCGCTGGAGTGATGTATCCCATGGTGGCCAACATCGAAATGCGACCATGCTTGATCTCGGTGGCGCGACGTCGCTTGAAGTCCTCCACGCTTCCGTCGGCGGTAAATCCGGCGGGATCCCAGAAACCTACGGGCGCCTGCACGCCGAGTTCATTCTCGAATGCGCGCAAAGGAGATGCTGTGTAGTTGGCCCAGTCTCCCCAGGCGCTTCCGGTCAGACCATCCTGGGACATGGAAGTTATGGCAGAGATCAAAAGCGCAGGGTGGCAGTATCGAGATTGTTGATGATTCTATGAAAATGATGGTATGACATTGCGCAATACAATATGATACAATATGATATGATACTACATGATATAAAATGATATGATATAACAAGCTATGGCATGTGATCGCAAACAATGTGTACATACAATTGGGTTAATCAACAAAATAAAAATTATCGAATCTGAAAATATCATATCTTTGTGCATGCTTCGAAGGCATTATATCAATTGTACAATCTGTGCATGTCACATCAGTCACATCATGAAACTATTCATTCCCGACACATTCTACTACAACTCACCCTATTGGCAAACATATGTGTAAATATAGCAGTAAGAACCATATCACACAACCAAACATGCGGTGTGCTGAAAACGTGGCTGGCGAGAAATAAACTTCAGAAACTCAGAACACGCCATACGAATTGACACAGAATTGTGGTTCTTTTTTCAACGATGTTGATTCTGTTGTGCTGATGCTCTACATTGTTGCACTCTTTCAGCCACGCTCTCTGTGGTGTTTATTTTCTTGTTGAATTGTAGCAAACAACATGCGCACAGAACCCTGTCCCCGCCTGGAAAAACATGCCGATGATGGCCATCATCGCAAGTCTTCCGTTAGCGATTTCGGCATTAAGTTTTTTGGTTTTCTCAGCCGGGTCAGAAGCAGTCAACACCTTGAATCCAAAGTCTCCAGCATACGCAGCACTTCCTGGGGTCTGTTCCTGGGAGACCTCGCAGAAAGCCATGTAGGCCAAGATCTGAGCCCATCCTCCAGGGTTGGCATATTGGGCCTTTAACAACACACATAAAGCAACATGGTAAAGTGTATATTTAACCACCAACTATATATCATATCATTATCATTCTATCATTGTGCGTGCAAAAACAAATCAACCATGCTTAACGGATGTTATACGAATGAATATGTGTATATATATACACATATATATATATATATGGCTTTGGTTTTCAGATGGATCCAGTTGTTTCAACCCTGTCCTGCGGCTGGGACCTTTGAGATGGCAGCCAAACCATTAGGCACATCGGCGAACTTCAAACCGGCGGATGGAGATAAGTAGCCAGGAAATTTGCCAGTGATCTCCTGGGGATTGTTTCATCGGGATGCATTCAAGAAAAAAACGCATTGCCAGTAGGTTCACCCGACTATAGTGGAATTGCAGAAATGGCCATTAACAAAAAACATGCTTTAGAGATCTTTACTGAAATGATCTTAAACGATTTTAAACCCAGCTTCAGCAAATCCAAGTCGCTGGGGTGATGTATCCCATGGTGGCCAACATCGAAATGCGACCATGTTTGATCTCGGTGGCGCGACGTCGCTTGAAGTCCTCCACGCTTCCGTCGGCGGTAAATCCGGCGGGATCCCAGAAACCCACGGGTGCCTGCACGCCGAGTTCATTCTCGAATGCGCGCAAAGGAGATGCTGTGTAGTTGGCCCAGTCTCCCCAGGCGCTTCCGGTCAGACCATCCTGGGACATGGAAGTTATGGCAGAGATCAAAAGCGCAGGGGGGCAGTATGGAGATTGTTGTGATTAAAAAAACAAGGTGTGACATCACGTGACACAATATGATACAATATGATATGATATGACCTGATATTAAATGAAATGATATGATAGCTATGGCACGATATGATAAAACAATGTGTATATACAATTTGGTTAATAAACAAAATGAAAAGTATCAAATCTGCAACAAAAGGCACGTATTTGTGCATGTTTCGAAGGCATTATATCGATGGTACAATCTGTGCATGTCACATCATGGAACTATTCATTCCCGGCACACTCTACAACTCACCTTACTGGCAAACACATCTGTAAATATAGCAGTAAGAACAATATTACACAACCAAACCAAACATGCGCTGTGCTGAAAACGTGGCTGGCGAGAAATAAACTTCAGAAACTCAGAACACGCAATACGAATTGACACAGAATTGCGCTTCTTTCTTCAACGATGTTGATTCTGTTGTGCTGATGCTCTACATTGTTGCACTCTTTCAGCCACACTCTTTGTGGTGTTTCTTTTCTTGTAGAGCTGTAACAAACAATATGCGCACAGACCCCCATCCCCGCCTGGAAAAACATGCCGATGATGGCCATCATCGCAAGTCTTCCGTTAGCGATTTCGGCATTAAGCTTTTTGGTTTTCTCAGCCGGGTCAGAAGCAGTCAACACCTTGAATCCAAAGTCTCCAGCATACGCAGCACTTCCTGGGGTCTGTTCCTGGGAGACCTCGCAGAAAGCCATGTAGGCCAAGATCTGAGCCCATCCTCCAGGGTTGGCATATTGGGCCTTTAAACGACACACATAAATCAGCAAAGCAACATGTGATAGTGTATATTTAACCATCAACCAGATATCATATAATTATCATTTTATCCTAGTGTATGCACAAACTGAACCGTGTGTTAACGGATGTTATATGAATGAATATGCATATATATATATATCCGCAACGCCTGGGCTTTGCCCAGGCGTTGCAGCAAAGAGGGTCCCCATTCCCAATCAAATGTTGTTGCAACTCTGCATTCCATTGGGAAGATCAACAAAAAGGCATTACAGTAGGGAATATTAAAATCCCACCCTGTTAAACTCTACATTCAATTGGGAAGACCAACAAAGGTATTAGGGAATAGGGACGATCAACAAAGGTATTTTGGAATATTAAAGTCCCACCCCCGTTAAACTTCTACATTCATTGAAGATGTTCAATAAGGGTTTACTTCCCCACCCCCGTTAAAACTCCTACATTCATTGAAGATCTTCAATAAGGGTTTATTCTCCCACCCCCCGTTAAACTTCTTTCTACCTTCGTTGAGAGCTCAATAGGCTTTAATTCCTTCCCCCACCCCCCGTAACTTCTACATTCATGAAGATCTTCCATAAGGTTTAATTCTCCCACCACCCGTAAACTTCTACTTCGTTTGAAGTATGCTTCGATAAGGTTTTATAAATCTCCCCACCCCCGTTAAACTTCTACATTCATTGAAGATGTTCAATAAGGGTTTGATGATGATGATGATGATGATGATGATGATGCGTTGCCTGTCGCGGTTGCGGTTCCAGGCAATGCCCAGGCATTTGCCGTATATATATATATATATTATGTATTTATCTACTTTGATTTTCAGATGGATCCAGTTGTTTCAACCCTGTCCTGCGGCTGGGACCTTTGAGATGGCAGCCAAACCATTAGGCACATCGGCGAACTTCAAACCGGCGGATGGAGATAAGTAGCCAGGAAATTTGCCAGTGATCTCCTGGGGATTGTTTCATCGGGATGCATTCAAGAAAAGAACACATTGTAGAAATGGCCATTAACAAAAAAACATGCTTTAATGGTCTTTACTGAAATGGTCTTAAACGATTTTAAACACAGCCTCAGCAAATCCAAGTGGCTGGGGTGATGTATCCCATGGTGGCCAACATCGAAATGCGACCATGTTTGATCTCGGTGGCGCGGCGTCGCTTGAAGTCCTCCACGCTTCCGTCGGCGGTAAAGCCGGCGGGATCCCAGAAACCCACGGGCGCCTGCACGCCGAGTTCATTCTCGAATGCGCGCAAAGGAGATGCTGTGTAGTTGGCCCAGTCTCCCCAGGCGCTTCCGGTCAGACCATCCTGGGACATGGAAGTTATGGCAGAGATCAAAGGCGCAGGGTGGCAGCATCGAGATTGTTGATGTATTAAAAAAACAAGGTGTGACATTACGTGACACAATATGATACAATATGATATGATATGACCTGATATTAAATGAAATGATATGATAGCTATGGCACGATATGATATGTAATCGCAAACAATGTGTATATACAATTTGGTTGATAAACAAAATGAATAGTATCAAATCTGCAACAAAAGGCATGTATTTGTGCATGTTTCGAAGGCATTATATCGATGGTACAATCTGTGCATGTCACATCATGGAACTATTCATTCCCGGCACACTCTACAAGTCACCTTACTGGCAAGCATATTTGTAAATACAACAGAAAAAACAATCAAACATGCGGTGTGCTGAAAACGTGGCTGGCAAGAAAAAATCTTCATAAACTCAGAACACGCCATGCCAATTGACACAGAATGGCGTTTCTTTCTTCAACGATGTTGATTCTGTTGTGCTGATGCTCTACATTGTTGCACTCTTTCAGCCACACTCTTTGTGGTGTTTCTTTTCTTGTGGAGTTGCAACAAACAATATCCGCACAGAACCCCATCCCCGCCTGGAAAAACATGCCGATGATGGCCATCATCGCAAGTCTTCCGTTAGCGATTTCGGCATTAAGTTTTTTGGTTTTCTCAGCCGGGTCAGAAGCAGTCAACACCTTGAATCCAAAGTCCCCAGCATACGCAGCACTTCCTGGGGTCTGTTCCTGTGAGACCTCGCAGAAAGCCATGTAGGCCAAGATCTGAGCCCATCCTCCAGGGTTGGCATATTGGGCCTCTCAACCCACATAAATCAGCAAAGCAACATGTTATACTGTCATAGTTTTAGTGTAGGTTTGGAGACAATAAATTGCATACCAGTAGTGCCGCACAAGGCGGTGGCGGAAGTTTCAAAAAGAGGAAAGGAGAGATTGGTTGTTGTGAATCAGGGATGGCAGAGCGAATCCACTGATGGACCGAAAGGTGCTTGAGGTCTCCTCTCTTTCTCTCTCTTTCTCTGACTATCTACCTACCTACCTATCTATCTCCAATGTATCTATCTATCTATCGGTCTATCTATCTATCTCTCTCTCTCTCTTTCATCTACTTACCTATCTATCTATCTATCTATCTAACTATCTATCTCTCTCTCTCTCTCTTTCATCTGTCTATCTGTCTAGCTGTCTACCTGTCTATCTGTCTATCTATCTATCTATCTGTCTATCTATCTATCTATCTAACTATCTATTTGTCTATCTCTCTACCTGTCTATCTGTGTGGTGGCAGTGTCATTCAGTGTAAGTAGTGTAGTGCAGTGTAGATTTAAGTGTAGTGGATCTAATTTAGTGTAGTGGAGTGGAGTGTAGTTGTGTAGGTTGTATTGTAGTGTTCTGAGTGTATGTACGTGTAATGTAGTGTAAAGTGTGTAGTTGAGTGTAAGTGTAGTGTATGTAGTTATTGTGTGAAGCGAAGCGAAGCGACATCTGAAACCTCCAAAAGTGGTCGGCGAACCCCTAGTGTTTTCAACATTTTGACTTCGACATGTGCTTCGCGCCACAACGCCGTGCACTTTTTCAACATCTCAACTTCCAAAAGTGGTCCGACGCTGAGGTGCTTTGTACCTTTTCACTTCGAAATCGGCTTCGCGCCACAACGGCGTGCACTTTTTCAACATCTCAACTTCCAAAACTGCTCCGAACCCCTCAGTTTTTAACACATTTTACTTCCAAATGTGCTTCGCGCCACAACGCCGTGCACTTTTTCAACATCTCAACTTCCAAAAGTGGTCCGGCGCTGAGGGGCTTTGTACCTTTTCACTTCGAAATCGGCTTCGCGCCACAACGGCGTGCAACTTTTCATCTCTCATCTCCCCAGATGTCTCCGCACCCGCCGCTTTAGCGAGCCTACTTTTCAACCCTCCGGAGCCAAAAAACCACGAAAAAACACAGTGTTTCGCAACTTTCCTACCTTTTCGCGCACCTGCATCTTCTTTCTTCTGATGTTTTCTCTTCTGACTCTTCTCCCTGCTGACTGCTTTTTCATCTCTCCATATTGTCGGAAGTTTGACTTCTAAACTTCCTTCGATCATCATATCATAAGTACATCTATCGTGTATCCACAAACATATCAACCACGTTTAAAGGATGATATATGGAAATAAATCTGTATGTAATATGAATCTCTACATTATTATTATTATTAGTAGTAGTAGTAGTACTAGTAGTAGTACTAGCAGTAGTAGTAGTAGTAGTACTAGTACTAGTACTAGTACTAGTACTAGTACTAGTACTAGTACTACTAGTACTACTAGTTACTAGTAGTACTACTAGTTACTAGTAGTACTACTAGTACTACTAGTACTACTAGTACTACTAGTAGTACTAGTAGTACTAGTAGTACTAGTAGTACTAGTAGCAGTAGCAGTAGCAGTAGTAGTAGTAGTAGAAGTAAAAGCAGAAGTAGAAGTAGAAGTAGAAGCAGCAGCAGCAGCAGTAGTAGTAGCGGTAGTAGTACTACTAGTAGTAGTAGTAGTAGTAGTAGTAGTATTAATAGTAGTAGTAGTAGTAGTAGTTAGTAGTAGTAGTAGTGGCAGTGGTGGTAGTGGTAGTAGTGGTAGTAGTGGTAGTAGTAGTGGTAGTAGTAGTGGTAGTAGTAGTAGTAGTGGTAGTAGTAGTAGTGGTAGTAGTAGTAGTAGTGGTAGTGGTGGTAGTAGTAGTGGTAGTAGTAGTTGTTGTTGTAGTTGTAGCTGTAGCTGTAGCTGTAGTTGCAATGTAGTGTACTGTAATTAGCGTAGTATAGCGCAATGCAGTTGCAGTTGTAGTTGTAGTTGTAGTTGTAATGTAGTGGTAGTGGTAGTTGTAGTTGTAGTTGTAGTTATCTATCTGCCTATCTGCAAGCTTCAAAACGAAGCTATTCTGCGAGACTTCCTCAATTTTTGAACTTGACAACATCAAAAACGAAACACTTCTGCGAGATTTCCTCAATTTTTCAACTTGACAACCTCAAAAACGAAGCAATTCTGCGAGACCTCCTCAATTCTCGAAGTTGACAACATCAAGAACGAAACAATTCTGCTACACTTCCTCCAAAAATGGAAAGTTGAGTGCAGAGCTGACGGCCTCGTACCATTGCGTTTTGCGATTTTTCCACTCCATCTGTCTAAAGTGCTGCGCCTGCCACGAAAAAGTGATGCCAAGTCATACAACGTGCTGCACCTGTCACGCAAAATCATCTTAGCAAACCTACAGATCTGATGCTCCAGAATGCAACCCCTCTCAGGAAATCAGCGGCCTGACCTCCTAACATCTCTGATCAACATGTCTCTTGTACTGCACCTGCCACGCGAAATCTATCTTTGCAGATCCTCTTCCAAAGTCCCACGCCCGCCATCGTTTTTGGACATGCCACAAAACCCTCACGTTTTGCTCACTTTTGTAAAGGTGGAGAATCCCGCGCCTGCCACACAAAATGCTTCATCATCCAAAAGTGGTCTGAACCCCTGGTGTTTTTAACATTTTGACTTCGACATGTGCTTCACACCACAACGGCGTGCACTTTTTCGATATCTCAACTTCCAAAAGTGGTCCGAAAATGGTGTGTTTTGTACATTTTGACTTCGAAATGTGCTTCGCGCTACAATGGCGTGCACTTTTTCGACATCTCAACTTCCAAAAGTGGTCCGAGAATGGTGTGTTTTGTACATTTTGGACTTAGAAATGTGCTTCGTGCCACAACGCCGTGCACTTTTTCGACATCTCAACTTCAAAAAGTGCTCCGAACGTGAGGTGTTTTCAGCTTTTTCAGTTGCAAATTTGCTTCGCGCCACAACGGCGTGCACTTTTTCGATCCGAAGCTGAAGTGCTTTGTACGTTTTGACTTGGAAATGTGCTTCCCGCCGCAACTTTTTCGACATCGCAACTTCTAAAAGTGCTCCGAGGCTGAGGTGCTTTGTACATTGACTTGGAAATGTGCTTGCGCACCCTCCGCTTTAGGGAGCCTACTTTTCGACCCTCCGGAGCCACAAATCATTGGAAAAACACAGTGTTTCGCGACTTTCCTACCTTTTCACGCACCTGGATCTTCTTTCTTCTGAGACTTTCTCTTTTTTGATCTTCTTTCTTCTTCTCTTCTCTTCTCTTCTTCTTCTCTTCTCTTCTCTTCTCTTCTCTTCTCTTCTCTGACTCTTCCCATCTCTGCTTTTCATCTGTCCATAATGTCGGAAGTTTGACTTCTAAACTTCCTTCAATTAATTGTGATTTGCTATGATTAGTGTTAAATTTATTTATCCATTGATTTATTTGTTTATTTATTTATGTATGTAAGTATTTATTTATGTATGTATGCATTTATTTATTTATTCATTTATTTATTCATTTATTTATTTATTGTTATTGTTATTTATTTTTACTATTTATTATTATTGCTTTTATTGTCATTATTATTGTCACTATTTATACTATTATTGTATATTTTTATATATAGTTAAAAATAATCTAATAAATAGAGTTATATGAAAATATATAAATATAAATATTATAGATATGGTGTTGATTTTCAGATGGATCCATTTGTTTCAACCCTGTCCTGCGGCTGGGACCTTTGAGATGGCAGCCAAACCATTAGGCACATCGGCAAACTTCAAACCGGCGGATGGAGATAAGTAGCCAGGGAATTTGCCAGTGATCTCCTGGGGATTGTTTCATCGGAATGCATGCAAGAAAAAACATTGCCAGTAGGTTCACCGGACTATAGTGGAATTGTAGAAAAGGCCATTAACAAAAAACATGCTTTATTGATCTTTACTGAAATGGTCTTAAGCGATTTTAAAACACAGCTTCAGCAAATCCAAGTCGCTGGGGTGATGTATCCCATGGTGGCCAACATCGAAATGCGACCATGTTTGATCTCGGTGGCGCGACGTCGCTTGAAGTCCTCCACGCTTCCGTCGGCGGTAAAGCCGGCGGGATCCCAGAAACCCACGGGCGCCTGCACGCCGAGTTCATTCTCGAATGCGCGCAAAGGAGATGCTGTGTAGTTGGCCCAGTCTCCCCAGGCGCTGCCGGTCAGACCATCCTGGGACATGGAAGTTATGGCAGACATCAAAAGCACCGGGTGGCAGTATGGAGATTGTCGATGATTCTTTCAAAATCATGGTATGACATTATCTGATACAATATGATACAATATGATATGATATGAAATGAAATGATATGAGATGCTATGGCACGATATGACATGTAATCGCAAACAATGTGTATATACAATTTGGTCAATACACAAAATGGGTAGTATCAAATCTGCAAGTGTCACGTCTTTGCGCATGCTTCGATAGCATTATATCAATTGTACAATCTGTGCATGTCACATCATGAAACTATTCATTCCCGGAATATTCTACAACTCAACTTATTGCCATGCAAGTGCAAGTATAGTGGTGACACACGCAGTAATGTGCAGTATGTTGAAACAATATCAAACAATCGAACTTCCTAAACTCAGAACACACCATACGAATTGACACAGATTTGTGCTTCTTTCTTGAACGACCTTGATTCTGTTTTGCTGATGCTCTACATTGTTGCACTCTTTCAGCCACACTCTTTGTGGTGTTTCTTGTTGAGTTGTAACAAACAATATGTGCACAGAGCTGAACCCTTTGCTCGCCTGGAAAAACATGCCGATGATGGCCATCATCGCAAGTCTTCCGTTAGCGATTTCTGCATTAAGCTTTTTGGTTTTCTCAGCCGGGTCAGAAGCGGTCAACACCTTGAATCCAAAGTCTCCAGCATACGCATCAGTTCCTGGGGTCTGTTCCTGGGAGACCTCGCAGAAAGCCATGTAGGCCAAGATCTGAGCCCATCCTCCAGGGTTGGCATATTGGGCCTTTAAACGACACACATAAATCAGCAAAGCAACATGTTATGGTGTATATTTAACCATCAACATTATCATTTTATCATAGTGTATGCACAAACATATCAACCGTGTTTAACGGATGTTATATGAATAAGGATGTACATATATATATATATATATGTATATTACATTAATATAATATATATATATATATGGTTTTGATGTTCAGATGGATCCAGTTGTTTCAACCCTGTCCTGCGGCTGGGACCTTTGAGATGGCAGCCAAACCATTAGGCACATCGGCGAACTTCAAACCGGCGGATGGAGATAAGTAGCCAGGGAATTTGCCAGTGATCTCCTGGGGATTGTTTCATCGGGACGCATTCAAGAAAAAAACGCATTGCCAGTAGGTTCACCCAACTACAGTGGAATTGCAGAAATGGCCATTAACAAAAACCATGCTATATTGATCTTTACTGAAATGATCTTAAACGATTTTCAAGCACAGCTTCAGCAAATCCAAGCCGCTGGGGTGATGTATCCCATGGTGGCCAACATCGAAATGCGACCATGCTTGATCTCGGTGGCGCGACGTCGCTTGAAGTCCTCCACGCTTCCGTCGGCGGTAAAGCCGGCGGGATCCCAGAAACCCACGGGAGCTTGAACGCCCAGCTCATTTTCGAATGCCGTCAGAGTCACCTGACACGAAAATGGAATTTTAACTGCCTTGCTGCACTCGGCGGCATTGCTGTTTTTTCTGTTGGTGTTCTGAAAAAGATGGCGGCTGTGACGAGGTCAGGATCATCACGATATCATCGCGCTGATCACGGTGAACACAACGATATGGATATCATGGTTAGCCTATGAACTGCTCATGGGGCTGGTGATGATCACGATGTATAACCATTATGAATTTTGATGACGACGGTGACAGCAAGCGGGACGATGAAGGTAGCGTTACTTTCTACAATGGAAAATGATATGTTCAAATGGTCATGGGTGAGGGTCACAATGATGACAATGATGCTACTGAGATGACAACGGTAATCATGATAAATAAAATTGTGACGGATCATGACAACGATGACGATGATGATGGTGTCGGTGAGGGTGTCATCCATGATTGTGATGGTGGTGATGATGGTCAGGAAGAAGAGAAGGATGGCAGTCTTGATCATGACAAAAGTCACGCGCGAACGCAAGATGTTATGTACATGTTTTCCACTGTAAATGTTCACACCTGTGGGTCCTGGGCCATAGCCGTGCAACACTCATCAAGCAATCAGACAACAAGGTCACATCTGGCCTCACATACGACATTTTCTATCCTGCCTAAAAAATAGACAACTATCCAACCATCATAAATTGATATTTGGCATCCATCCGACATGTGGAAATACAAGAACCCCCATCTACACCAGACAGATTGACAAACCTTGCCCCAATTCCTTGCCCCACAGCGCACCAGCTGTGGCTTAACCACGCTAGCAAAGGCCTGACACGCAGATCAGCCCACGGAGCAGACCAGTGAGCAAATGGTTAATTGTCATAGTTATACCCCACTTACGCGTGTATCTACATGTAGATTAATATGTACATATATACATATATATTATATATATATATACACATATACTAGATATGTATATGTAAATATAGTGTATATTAAAATAGTATATGGGAATATAGGTATGTAGGTATAGTATAGATATATGTGCGCGCATGGCTCAATCATAGTTGTTCACCAACCAGAAACAACGGAAACCAACGAACCCGAATGCAGTCACGTAAAACTCTTTCGTGAAACAAGTTATTTCAACAGTCTTGTACATTTTTCCCCTGTTCCCGTACCAGTGTAAACTGTGGAGTGGAACGGGGTGGAGTGCAGAGTGTCGAGTGTGAAGACAGTGAAGACAGTGGAGAGTTGAGTGGGGAATGTAATGTGAAGGGTATGAAATTGGGATTGTGGAGTGTGAAGTGTCGAGTTAAACGTGCAAAGTGCGGAGTGTAAAGTGTAGAGAGCGGAGTGTAAAGTGTAGAGTGTGGATTGTAAAGTATAAAGTGTAGAGTGCGGGGTGTCAAGTGTAAAGTGCGGAGTGTAAAGTGTGAAGCGTCGAGTGTGGAGTCTGGAGTTTGGAGTGTAAAGTGTAGAGTGCGGAGTGTAAAGTGCAAAGTGTAGAGTATGGAGTGTAATGTGTAATGTGTGAGGAGTGTGGGGTGTAAATTGTAGAGTGAAGAGCGTGGAGTGTCAAGTGTAAAGTGCAAAGTGCAATGTGTGAAGTGTAACGTGTACAGTGTGAAGTGTGGAGTGTGGAGTGTGGAGTGTAAAGCGTAGAATGTGATGTGTAAAGTGTAGAGTGTATAGTGTGGAGTGTGGAGTGTAAAGCGTAGAGTCTGGCTGAAGTCTAAAGTGCGCAGTGTAGAGTGTAAAGTGTAGAGTGTAGAGTGTGGAGTGTCAAGTGTTGAGTGTAAAGAGTAACGAGAAGAGTGTGGAATGTCAAGTATCGAGTGCGGAATGTAAAGTGTCGGGCTTAGTGTGTGGTGTATCAAGCGTAAAGTGTAAAGTGCAAAGTGTAAAGTGTACAGTGTAGCGAGTAGAGTGTAAAGTGTAGAGTGTAAAGTGTACAGTTTACAGCGTGGAGAGTGGAGTGTAGAGTGCAGAGTGTGGAGTGTCAAGTGTACAGTGTGGACTGTAGAGTGTAGAGTGTGAAGTGTCAATGTAAAGTGTGAAGTATAAAGTGTAGAGTGCGGAGTGCGAAGTGTAAAGTGTAAAGTGTAGAGTGTGGCGTGTAAAGTGTGAAGTGTAGAGTGTCAAGTGTAGAGTGTGGAGTGTCAAGTGTAGAGTGTGGAGTGTAAAGTGTAGAGTGTGGAGTGTGGAGTATATAGTGTAAAGATGTGTAAGTGCAAAGTGTGCAGTGTAAAGTGTAAAGTGAAATGTGGAGTGTAAAATGCAAAGTGTAGAGTGTACGGTGTAGGGTGTGGAGTGCCAAGCGTAAAGTGTAAAGTGTGAAGTGTCAGGTGCACAGTGTAAAGTGTAAACTGTAGTGTGGAGTGTAGAGTGTAGTGTGGACTGTCAAGTGTCAAGGGCAAAGTGTAAAGTGTAAAGTATAGAGTGCGGGGTGTCAAGTGTGAAGTGGAAAGCGGAAAGTGTAAAGCGTAGTGAGGAGTGCGGAGTGTAGGGTGTAAAGTGTAAAGTGCAGAGTGTGGAGTGTGGAGGCAAAGTGGAGTGTCAAGTGTAAAGTGTAAACTGCAAAGTGTCAGTGTAAAGTGTGAGTGTAGGGTGTAGAGTGTAGGGTGTAGAGTGTCAAGTGCAAAGTGTGAAGTGTACAGTTTACAGTGTAAAAAGGAGTGTGTAGAGCGTGGAGTGTGTAAAGCGTAGAGTGCGGAGTGCCAAGTGTAAAGTATAAAGTGTATAGTGCGGAGTGTGGAGTGTCACGCGTAAAGTGTAAAGCGTAAAGCGCAAAGTGTAAGAGTAGTGTGTCCCAAATACTGCGCCTGCCACGCAAAATAACATTGCACACACGACGGATCTTCACCACATGCTGTGCCTGCCACACAGAATGACACTCTCACAATCTCCCATGCCTGCCACGCAATTTGCACACTTCATGCAGCTCTGACATTACGATTCGCCAAAAACACGCAACACGACTTGCCTAAAGTGCTGCGCCTGCCAAGCAAAATGAAAATGGACACGTCCAAAGAACTGCGCCTGCGTTGAAAAAATGCAAGTCATCTTCTGAAAACCTTGCAAAAGTATTGCGCCTGTCACACAAAAAGACTTTCGACACTTTTTCAGACACGTGAGACAGTCACTAAATGCCACTCTTGCCACGCAAAACGACATTAGAACCTGTGTTGAAACCTTCGAAAATGAAATGTTGTGCAGCTTCCACCATAGGCACGGCGACGCCACAAGAAAACCAGAGAATCAAGACTAGACATGTTGGAGCCTCAAAACGATCATTTCGCGCGAGACCTCCGCGAACGTTGTAGCCACAAAATCGACGTTCTCCTGCGAGTGCTCATATGAACCCCAAAATCTACGACCTCAAAATGGATGTTTCGTGCGAGGCATCCGTTAATTT